ACTGCATGTAACACGATCTATGGATGGGGGAGAGGCTGATAAATGACTAGATTCTCTCCCCCATTCAGGGATCTTGTTATATGCAGTGTAATCCAACTGCCTGACAAATATGGGACTTTACAGGTAAATATGACCATACACTAGTGGACTTTCAAATGAATGTTCACACAAACATTTTATACAAAATTATGTACAAGATTTCTCAACACTTGACGGCTTGACAAATGTTTTGAAAGTACTTAAAAAAAAAAAAAAAAAAAAAAAATCCATTTGCCTTTTTAATATTCATTTTTGCAATGAAAGGACTTTTAACAGACAAAAACCACATACAAGGTTAGGCATTTTCTCGAGGAAAATTTCCATCCTGCTGCTTTTAAACTTCACTGTGGTCAAACAAATGAATTTTTTTTTTTTTAATTATCCCACTAATTAGAAAAAATACAACAAATGAAAACCTTTAATAAAAAAGTCTGTAGCCAGCTTATGTGAAGCAACTGCATCTATGGGCCTAAAGTTATTCTTTGATTAAACCTCAGCTTTAAAATGTACTTTGGGCCAGTTTGGTTTCCTGTAATTATCAATGTTAAATCCAGGGTGTTTATGGGGTCTCAATCATCCTAGTATATGTTGTCATAAACGGGAAGTTCTTTATGAGCTGTGCTGCAGCGACTTTCCTTTTTGGTAAACCTCTGCCATTCAGGAAACATTTTATATTTTCAGTGGCTACAAGGCGTTCCCTGATTGGCAAGGTGGTGTTTGACATGGACCTCCCCCTCCTCTCTTCCTTGTTTAAATCAAAAAATGCCTTGTATTGGAAAGAATCCAACACATTTTCTAAATTGTGCAGGTCCTAAACTATTGACTATGTTCAGTTTACTGAGGGGAGGGGAGACGGCACACCCCTGTCAGTGGTAGATGCCATGCATGGGTTGAAATTCAGCAGGTTCAACAGACATATATGCTGACATTGCTCACATAAGCTACTGAGCAAGACTTTTCTCAGTATGTGGTATAGAAATTTATTTTTCACTTTTGGATGAATATATACTTGCACACGGGAGTACAAAATGCTTGTTTTTACTGATCTGCAATGAGATGCATTGTCTATGGGACATTTTACAGGGCTGAGTAAAACAAAAAGAACATTTTTCATTTGAGTGCAGTAATTTAGTTGCATTTTCACTCATTTTAGGCCCCTTGCACACAAGCATCCTAATTTTCTTTTGTTTACACAGAAATTTGTGACTCTGGTGTGCAAGGGGCCACAATACTGGCAATGAAGAATTTTACTTGTCTATACTCATATGCTTACACACCTTTTTAATTGCCTATACTCAACGTTACTCAGGTCTTTACAGAGTTTGGGGCCCCTTACAGGTGTCACAAGTTCCTGAGTAAACAGTAAATTGTGACACCCATGTGCATGGGGCCTAACAATTTTGGTATTGTTATAACTTTAGTTCAGCACATATCTTTGTATTTCTATTCACTTCACATATCATACATTGTGCAAGCTGCTTTGAATTATTGATTGCAATGAGGCCTATACATGATTCTCTTGAATAAGATGGCTACTGAGAAGGCTTGAGATGCCATTTTCAATTGGTCTGATCAGGCATACTTGGATTTTTTAAGTGGGGATTTGATCTAAATTTGTGGTACTACTTTTCGCTTATTTTTAAAGGTGAAATTCCAGCTTACACCTAAAAAGCCTTAAAATTGCCCCCCAACTCCTGTGCTAACTAACCTGTGTAAGAAAGATATGGGTACTTGTCTAATTTAATGCTGGTCCAGTTGCATGGTTTGGCTCCCCTGTGGTTGCTGCAGTGGAGAGGAGGGAGTGCTGAAAATGGAAGCCATTGAAGCCTATGGCTCATGTTGGAGTGCCCTCTCCTCTCCCCTGCAGGTGCTGCTGGCTGACAATGATCACATGATCATACCATATTGTAAATACAGTATTTGAATTGCCTTCACCCTGCAGTCAAGGGTTTAGGTTGTTTTACATAAGTCTTATTGGTCTGACCTTCCATTCCTGTAGTTTAATGGTTGGATTTCCCAGGCTTCCGTATTTACCATAGTAAGTACACTTTCACCTTCGCAGTTGGTCTAACTTCTGGTTCTGTTTCTCTTGTGTGCTATCTTGGTCTATTCAGTTATATTATCCTTATCCTGCCCCTGCCTGGTCAGTCAAGATGGCCAGAGATCCAGATGACCAGGAAGATTCCTGCAAGGGTGAGGTTACTATAGTTCAGTGTTAAAGTGGGACTAAGGATCACCGTACTTTACCTCTGCTTCAACAGTCTTGCACCTTTGCGCTGGTATCTTTTCCCTGTTTTGCTTAGCTGATGCAAGACGCCATCAATCCTGCACATGATCAGGAATTCCGTTCTCCTGGCAGTCACCGCACTGGAATGTAAACTGAGCTACACATGCGCCGCTCAGTGTGCATCGTACAGAAGACTGCAGGCAGGTAGGTTTATTTTATTGCAGAATAAACACTGCATGTCTTATCTGATAGCCTGCCTGCTCAGTTTTTACATTTAGACTTTAGTTCCACTTTAGATGAAAACAAGCTGTCAGTCAAATCCTAACAGCATGGGGTGGGGCTCAGCCAAGCTGCATAGGTTTGACACAGCCAGTCTTGGGAGCAAACCCAAATCTGCCCACATAGCAAGTGTCTTGCTATGTTGGAAGACACAGAAGAGGAGGAGCTTAGAGTGCCAATGGGGGACTCCCAGAAGAGGTTCAGGGCTGCTCTGTGCAATTCCTTTGCACAGAGCAGGCAAGTATAACATGTTTAAAAAGTAAAAGCCTTTATAACCACTTTAATTGGTAAATAAGGGCTGCATTTTAACAGCTTTAGGCATCTCTTCTCTGGTTTTTATTAAAGGATGGAAATATAATTTTCACATCTTGGGACTATGAATTGTATTGAGAAACTGTCACAGATCTGCAGCTTCTATGCAGACACTCCTGGTCTTTCTGCTGTATTGGAAACTTGGGTAGTTTGCAAAATAGACTGAATTCCAGGAAATCATATTAGCATTTAGATATGCACCTAATTATTTTGGATAAACACCGTTGTTTAGTATAGTTTTAAACATAGTATTCATTAATAAATTATGTAGTATTGTATATATTCCAGGAGTATGTTTAGAGGAATAATGGACCTCCGTTTCAGAATGCTTCGCTTTGGGTCCATGATGGTTTCTTATACCTCCTAATATAAAGGTTTCTGCTTTTTTTTTTTTTTTTTTTTCTATTATCCATTAAGTTCCCCTCTGAAGACTAAACCAAAGGACAAAGTTATGACAAAGCTGATATCGAAGGTATAACTAAATGCAATTTTTTTTTAGTTTTGGACCGAGTGGAGATTTGCGCTGTAATCCATCAGTTTTTGTTTTGTGCCCCCCCCTCCCATTAGGGAGATTCACCCTCCTATTTATCCGGTTTATCTTACAAGTTATAATCCTCCTTAATGCATAGTATACGGATGAGAAGTGGATGAAAAATACCACTTTCTGATTTGATTGATAATCTGATCATTAGTACACAGCTTCCGAATGCCTATCACGACAGTATATGCAACATTATCCAAAGGGACAAGCATGAAAATTTTTCTCACAAAACAACAAATGATTTTCTTTAATCAGTACAGTATTTGTCCGAAAATAAAAAAAAAAAAAAAAAATCAAGTGACCAAGACCGTGCATGTTTGGAAATGAAATGCATTACATCACACTTCCAAAGTTGTATTCTGTTGTACGAGAATTTTTTAACTTTAAGAAACCTCCTCATTTGCAGTATGACACTAGCATGCAAAAAAGAACGATCATACGTCTCTGATATTCTCATGTGTATGAGCCTTTAGCCTATCCAAAATGGGGAGTGGGGTTTACATTTAGTTCTAGTTTTAAGTGAACTTATGCTTTTCACATGCAGTTTTGTAGCTATTATTGCTCTCCTCTTGCTAGCTAAGCAAAAGGAAAACAAGCAAGAGAGGAAGCAAGTCGCAATCCATTCTGATGTGACCATACTGGGTGTCTTGAGTAGCCAGTTACCAAGGCACAGGCAATATCAAATGGAAGAAAAGTGAATCACATGTTCCCCATGCATTGAAGTACCAGGTATTTCTCTTTACTCTTGACAGCCGAATTTAAAAATTGAAGCACTCAATCTGTAAGATGAATTTTACCTAATTTCCGTTGATTCTCAATAGAAATGAAAATTTAGTTACATCCTTATGACTCAGGAAATCTCACTATTTTTTTATTTTCTAACAATGAGTGTTAAATGTACTGTATCTTGCTCAAGTGCGTATTCTGCACCTAATTTAAAGTCTTAATGTTCATTTCTAGAATGCATTTTGGACCTCGTGTGAAAGTAGAACTGCTTTTTTTAAATGTATACTTAGATGCTTCCCTTTCATTCGTTTAAGCATTTACTGGAGAATGAAAAGTTCTTTTGGTTATGTGGAAATAACGTTCTTCATATTTACATATAGGGCTGCTTACTGGTCATATTCTCCTTATTTCTTACCAAGTCTTCCTTTTTTTTGTTTTCTCCCACAGGTATGGCATCACAGCTGCAGGTGTTCTCCCCTCCTTCAGTATCGTCCAGTGCCTTCTGTAGTGCTAAGAAACTCAAAGTTGAGCCTTCTGGCTGGGATGTTACGGGACAGGGTAATAGCAACAAGTATTACGCACACAGCAAAAACCTTGCTCAAGGGCACACAAGTTCATCTCACCAGGTAGCCAATTTCAGTCTACCCGCCTATGAGTCCAACCTCTTAATTCCAGCTGCTGCAGCAGAGCACATTGTGGTAACTGCCGCGCGACAGCACAGGCAGTGGACCCACAACCTCCTTCCAGAGCAGCCAGATTCTAAACCATAGAAGTAACATTTTACTGGAACCCTACCAAAAATGTGGACTGAAAAGAAAAAGTGAGGAGGTGGACAGCAACGGTAGCGTGCAGATTATTGATGAACGGCCACCTCTGATGCTGCAAAACAGAACCGCGGTGGGTGCTGCTGCCACAACCACCACTGTAACCACTAAAAGCAGCAGCTCTAATGGTGAGGGGGATTACCAGCTTGTTCAACATGAAATCCTGTGTTCCATGACCAACAGCTATGAGGTCTTGGAGTTTTTGGGTAGGGGGACATTTGGCCAAGTGGCAAAATGCTGGAAGCGTAGCACAAAGGAAATCGTTGCCATTAAGATCTTAAAGAACCACCCTTCCTATGCCAGGCAAGGTCAAATAGAGGTGAGCATCCTCTCACGCTTGAGCAGCGAAAATGCAGATGAGTACAACTTTGTGCGTTCATATGAGTGCTTCCAGCACAAGAACCACACTTGCCTTGTTTTTGAAATGTTGGAGCAGAACCTTTATGACTTCCTCAAGCAAAACAAGTTCAGCCCTCTTCCATTGAAGTACATAAGACCTATCCTTCAGCAGGTGGCTACTACTGCCCTAATGAAGCTGAAAAGCTTGGGGTTAATCCACGCGGACTTGAAACCAGAGAACATAATGCTAGTTGATCCAGTTCGCCAGCCTTACAGAGTGAAGGTGATAGACTTTGGTTCTGCCAGTCACGTATCAAAAGCGGTATGCTCCACCTACCTACAGTCTCGATACTACAGGTAAGATTGTGTTTTTTTGTTTTTTTTTTTTTTTTTTTTTTTTAGTTTACGAATGTAACTCATAAAATGTATGCATTTGTATACGTATTGGTTATCGTGAGCCCTTTCGAGGCCTGTGCACCTTAATAGCTTTAAGGCTTTACACAATTGTGGTTTTGAAAATATACATTATTGCATAGATATGTTTAAAAAAAATTTTTTTTACAAAAGTGGAAATGAGACCTGAATTTGCCTATTTTTTTCCAGTAGAATCAGCGATCACTAATGCATTACGAAAGTCATATATTCATTTTAAATGCATTCAAGTCAGTGGAATAGAGACCCTAAACAAAATCAAAATAGCTGAAAAAGCATGAAAATATACAGGAAACAATCAGGGCGGGGGGAACTGTAATTACACTCTGCAGAGCTCATTGAGGAGAGATCTGAGAGCCAATTGGAGGGAAGGGACACCTTTTCCCACAGTACACAATAACAGACCAGAATCTGTCAATCACAGGCTGTGTGCTTGAAGTCCCTTACCATCACCATTTTTCGCTTGTCAGTAAAACGTGTCATAGGTGATTTCATGTTGACAGCAGAGGAACAAAGCAGCAGATGATGCTTAGTGCTCTTGAAACAAGTGCACACTATAATTGGAGTATGCTTTGTTCATATTTTGTCTGAGGTTTACAACCACTTTAAAGCCAGCCATACAGGAGTTGAAATTCGACTAGTTCAGCAGGGACAGGCCAAATTTTGATTTATTTTTGCAGGCTGGTTGTACACATGTTGGTTGATCGACTTGTGTACAACCAGCCTGTTGCGTTTTTACCAAACGATCTGTGATAGCAGACAATGCTGATCATTCTATTCTGATGGAGAAGGCTTCCCACTGTCAGCATACAATACCATAGCATGACGGAATCCCCCATCTGCCTTGAATGTGTAGATACAAAAATATTCTTCTCCTTTTTTTTTTTTTTTTTTTTTTTTTTTTTTTTTTTACCATGAAAAAGTTAACTATGGGCTGCCTAATGTTTACATTCAGATTTATTCTCCCTAGGTGTACATAGGTAGTTATTTCTTGTACCTGGATATCAGTAGGACAGGCCTGGCCAATGTCAGGACCTGTGGCTGCTATTGTTGGGGGGGGGGGGGGGGGGGGGAGTTACAGCTGACACTTGGAGCTGTTTCACACGTGCAAAGCGGATTGCAGCTCAAGTTTCACAGCTAATTTATGCAGTGGTTCATGTCAGGTTTACATCAGGTCAGGATCTTATCCTGTTCGCTCATGTGCAGTATAGAAATTGTTCCCATAGAAATCAGTAGCCTGTAATCCACACCTGAACCTGATGGCAGTGCTCAGAAATCGCACAGGATTCTTTCAAACTGCACTGAATCTGCACTGCCAGTGCACTGGACATATGTGAACAGGCACCATAGGAACGTTATTTCACATCTAATGTGGATTGGACACAGTTCAAGCCACGTAAATGTGAACTGGCATTTGGAAAGTTAGTCCCTTTGAGTGTGGTGTTTTTGTGTTTTTTATTTTTTCAGATCTGATTTCTGAATGCAAAAATGCCCCCGTTAGCAGTTTACTTATTGATTTTCACTTGTTGCTCCCTCCTAAGCTACAAAGGCAGGCATATGGGGGTATGCAAATGCTGCAGCCACATTGCTTTGCCTCACGGGTAAATTATTCCTCCTATCGCATTTGGCGGGCAGTACTACATGCTAAACTCAATCCATTCAATTGTCCATGGTGTTGCAGGCTTCTAGAGGTTAAAAGCAGGCAACATGGAGGCAATATACCACCTGTTGCATGCCCTCTGAAAAGCAGTCTACCTTTGATCTTTAGAGGGTTACTTCTAGTTGAAATAAGCCCTTAAGGTGGGCACGTAATTAAAATTATACAATCTGCATTAGTTTTTGCCTTCAGCTGTGCAGTGAGAGGGTCTCAAAGGTGTGGAAATTTTTAAAGAAAACTACTTGTACATGGGACTAAATCGGGGTCCCAATCTACTTGTTCCTTTACGACAATCTATTTTGTCCTGATGATGAAAAAGTTTACCACAACGATATTTAAATAGCATCTTTATTAATAGCAAGAAGGGTTGATATTTTTATTAGGCAGTGGTGCTTTTAGGAATGTCTGAAGCTTTTAAAACCGAAACTGACTTTATGGGGACTTAAACGCTTAATGTTTTAACATTGCACTGTTAATCTCCTACTCTCCTTCCTGCCTCTCTCCAGCACTGTACCAGGGACTAGCACCTTGCAGTGTGAACAGTACTGATTGGGTGCTCGTTGGCAAAGGGGAGTGTCGGGCTGTCTTAGGCTCATCTGCTGAGCGAGTAGTAAATGAGGTGCCAGGCCTCAATGAGAGGGTGGGGGGAGGAACTTTATTCTATCAGATTACTCACACGAAAGCACTTGGATGCTCAGTACAAGCACATGCTGAGCAGCCAAAGCAAGCTCCGGTGTCCACTTTGTTAAGGGGCAAAAGAGAAACCTTGCTGCTTGCCTGCAGCAGGGCTAAATGTAAAGAAGAAATACCTGCCCGGCACCTGGAACTGCATGTCCCAGGTCTGCTTAACATCCTTTTAATTCATTCAGATCGATATGGACTTGCAAATTGTCGTGTGTGTGTGACAGCCTTAAAGGAAAAGTATAAGGCTCCATGCACACTGGGCGTTTTTTAATAACGCTGGTGGTGTAAAGTAACATTAAAAACATGAGTTTTTCAGCATTTTTCCATTAGCCTTTAGCTGTTTAGCTGTAAAAACCTTTTTTTTTTTTTTTTTTTGACAAAACTCCTAGAAACCCACTAGTTCTGGTTTTTTTTTTTTTTTTTTTTTTTTTTTTTTTTTTTTTCCAGCCAAAAAAAGCCCCTGCCAAAAAAATGCTGATTATAGTCTTTGTGCATGGACACATAAAATAACCTGCTGGGGAGTTAACTAGCTGTAGAAAAAAACAGCAAAAGCAAAAACAGCCGCTGTAAAGACGTAGTGTGCATGAGGACTAATGGTTTGAGGTTATGAATTGTTTGTACATAGTTTTCTTAAATAAAATCGAAAAAATTTTTTTTCTTTAGGTTTTTGTAATACCTGGATTTGCACATAGTTTTTGGTTTATTAAAGTGAGCACTGTGTAAAGCTGGCCATGTACTGATGCAAGCTGAATGAAAATCATGATGTACAGTGCTTGTTGGCCCCAGTGACTGTCATAAAAATATTGGCTGCATTCAATTAGATGGAACCACTGTTTGGTTATTCTAACAGTTTCTGCAGGCTCATCAGTCCAAGCTGGACCATGTAAACTATGTAAAAAACGCCATACCTGCAATTTGTTTTTTGATGAGGTGGTTATACCGTTTTGTGATTCTGTTCCAGTTCAAAAAGGAGATAATGTGTACTTTTTATATCCTGACTGTAAATAACAGTAATGTTGTCATTTTTTCCATTACATATGCAGACTCCTTGTTTCCTGTTTGCTGTTTTCTTTAGAATGCTTTTAGGTGCTTGGGAAAACTGCCAGCTTGTATGACAGTGAAATCTGTTTTGTTTAAGATGTTAATTGCTGACCACGTAAAATGTTATATTTTCTTAACTTCCATCGAAGCCATATAATCTTCTCTAGGTGATCAGACTTTAAGAACTAAAAGCAAACCTTACACTAAAATGAAAGGTCTTCATATGTGGATACCCCTACTTCTGTTGTCAAAATACTTAATTAGGGAAATAAGAAATAAATATGCACACATTGAAAGAAAATTCTTAAATGGTTACTTTACTACTGGGTTCTGGTGTATTCCTGTCACAGGACTTTGCAGAGGGATCTTGTGAAAGATCAGGATCTCGCTGCAGCATGATATGGGATTTAGGATGCTCAACTTTTCCAGGATTCCACAAAGATCCATTGACATCTCCTTCCTAGGTATAACCTAGGCCCTAGTAGACGTGAGAATATCAGACAAACAAGTCTGTGTTTTTTTTTTTTTTTTTTCTTTAACATGCTAGGCTCGTCTGAAACAAGGGATACCAAAGTTACAAAAATTCTTGTAAAACAGAATTCAACTTCGGCAGTTGTAAGGTGACAACTGTGCTCTTTCATACTTACAGTAAGGTAAGTGGGTGTTGTGACCCTAGAGCAGTAGGTGTGTATCTGGTAGGATTACCAGGTGACATGTAAGGGGCAAAAAATACTTAAAGCGAGAACTAATGCAGCCATCACATCGAAGGATTGATAAGCTGCCATATATTCTTGCTGTTGGATTTAGACCTGTTTTAAAGTGATTTGTAAAGGCTAAAGGTATGCTTTTTTTTATAACCTGAATGCATTCTTTGGATTAGGCTTGGTTCACATATGTGCAGGTGGTGCTGTTGTGGATCCGCACGAAAATCCGTGCATACGTGCGGGTGCCGTTAATTCTAATGGCATGCCACCCGTACTGGGAACCAAGGTTCCCATGCAGACTGCATTTTCAGAAGTGCAGGGACTTCTTCCCTGCATGTCACGGGGCACGGAAGTCCATTCAAATGATTGGGCTTTCGTGCCTGCGCAAAATGCGGCCTGCATGACCGCATATACAGGTGAAACTCAAAATTAGAATATCGTGCAAAAGTTCATTTATTTCAGTAAAGCAATCTAAAAAGTGAAACTAATATATGAGACTCATTACATGCAAAGCAAGATAGTTCAAGCCGTGATTTGTCAGAATTGTGATGATTATGGCTTACAGCTCATGAAAACCCCAAATCCACAATTTCAGAAAATTAGAATATTGTGAAAAGGTGCAATATTCTAGGCTCAAAGTGTCCCACTCTAATCAGCTAATTAAGCCATAACACCTGCAAAGGGTTCCTGAGCCTAAATGGTCTCTCAGTCTGGTTCAGTAGGAATCACAATCATGGGAAAGACTGCTGACCTGACAGTTGTGCAGAAAACCATCATTGACACCCTCCATAAGGAGGGAAAGCTTCAAAAGGTAATTGCAAAAGAAGTTGGATGTTCCCAAAGTGCTGTATCAAAGCACATTAATAGAAAGTTATGTGGAAGGGAAAAGTGTGGAAGAAAAAGGTGCACAAGCAGCAGGGATGACCGCAACCTGGAGAGGATTGTCAGAAAAAGGCCATTCAAAAGTATTGGACTTTCACAAGGAGTGGACTGAGGCTGGAGTCAGTGCATCAAGAGCCACCACACAGACGGATCTATGGGGCATTGCCAAGAGAAAGGAGACATGAGACCGAACAATGCAGAAGAGTGAAAGCCACTATTGAAGAATCCTGGTCTTCCATAACACCTCAGCAGTGCCACAGGCTGATAGCTTCCAAGCCACGCCGCATTGAGGCAGTATGTACTGAGTACATATGCATGCTTAGACTTTTCAGAAGTCCGATATTCTATGTACAATCCTTGTTTTATTGATTGCATGAAATCTAATTTTCTGAGATTGTGGATTTGGGGTTTTCATGAGCTGTAAGCCATAATCATTACAATTATGACAAATCACGTCTTGAACTATCTTGCTTTGCATGTAATGAGTCTTTCTCCTATATTTTCACCTTTTAAGGTGCATTACTGAAATAAATGAACTTTTGCACGATATTCTAATTTTTTGAGTTTCACCTGTATGTGGACCAGGGCTAAAGGTAAGAAACCTTCCTTAATTGGCTCCCCCCCCCAGCCCCCTAAATATGCCTGATCTCAATCCAGCGCTTTGCCTAAAAGTAGCAGAGCTGCTCTTTCCTCATGGAACTCAGACGGCAGTGGGATTCATTGGCTCCTGCTGCTGTCAATTGAATACAGGAGGCGGGGTTTGAGTCCAGACCATGCTATGTGTCTATGGGCACACGGCCCAGCTCAGGAGCAAGCCTGCAACACCTGCCCCATTGCAGGCTGGTTGCTCTAGGGGCAGATGGAGAAGAGCAGCCGAGATCGCCAGCATAGTACCCCAGAAGAGGAGGATCGGGGCTACTCTGTGCAAAGCCATTGCACAGAGCAGGTAAATAGCTTTTTTTTTTTTTTAATTAACACAAGTGTTAGCAGTGTGGAAGTTTAACCATTTAAAATTAAAGCTAACATGACCATGTTGCCTGGTTTATTTTAAAGGACTTTGTTCAGCACAAATCATGTAACAATTGTGCAGTTAGGTTGTAATGTGCTGTGCAAACTCTATAAATCCTGCATAAATGTGCAGGAAGAATTTGCGCATGGTTGGACACACATTCCTGCTATTATCTTGTAATTATCTGTCAGTTTTTGATGAGACTGATTGCAGTCTACATTGACTCTACTAGTCATCTGGTGCCAATAATAAATTAATGGGCACAATGTTACCTGGTTGACATTTATACAGACATTGCAATGGAGACAGTTGTCTTGGGTTTGGAATAGAGGGGCTTAGTCAAGTTTTTGTAAAAGAAGTGGAACATTTCAGCTGCTTATCAGCAGATCTAATTGACCATTTTTAACATGTGGAATTCGGTGGGAAAACCACTCCTTAAACTGACTGTCAGCACCCAGTACTTCCAAGGTGTCTGCTTATGTCCAAAGCTGTGCATTATGGTTTCTTCCACCAGCCACTACAGTAGTGATGCTCAGGTTGGCGGGAGAAACGACTCACAGCAAGGACCTGTGTATTCGTCAAATGGAAATGAGTGGTATACTGAAGAATCTGCTGGGGACCATAGCTTTTTAAAGACCTGAATGAGATTTCTTATTTCAAATAACATTGCTACCTTAACATTGTTCTCTGAGGTTTGTGATTGGTTTCTAGTGCTCGTGCAACTTTGTTCAAATGACCCTTCCTTCTACTGATATAATATCCATTGATCTTTGGGTACGGTGAAATTGCCTTAACGTCACTCCTTGCAGGGCAGTATGTGCAAGTTGCCAGAGATGTGGTTAGGTTCAGATAACGGACTTTTTAGAAACCCTTTTTTAAGTCAAGGGAAAAGTGTCATCTGTCCTGGCTAAAGTTCATTATGTGCTGTTGCAGCCCAATGGCTAAATTCTGCTTGGATAGAGTTATGGCTTTGACGCACAGATCCAGAAGTATGAGTGTTCTTGGTGACTAAGCAACATGCTGCTGCAGGCGTGAAAGCTTGAGCATGATAAAACACCCCCATTTATGTCTTCAGGCAACTAGTTCTTTTACTACCTTTTTTATTCCTTTGTATTTGATTTCAAGAGGTCTGCCGATCCACATTGATCTTGATATACACCAGACATTTCTTACACTTTCTATTAAATAGTAATCCCAATTTATTAAATGGTAACCCTAGTTTATATTTAAGTGTACTTTTTTTGGTAAAATCTTAATTTTAACTGTTGACTTTTATGGGTTAAAGGGTTTCCCTTCGATTTAGAAAACAGGGTGATGATGCACATCCATTTTTTTTTTTTTTTTTTTTTTTTTTTTTTTTTTTTTTTCTCTTAACAAGTATGTTGTCTTTTTACCTTAAGAAAACCACCCACATTGTCCCAGAAAGTTTATATAATACAGTTGCTGTAGCAACTCTGTTATACTGCAGTTAATGTGTTTACTGTTCATTTATGGTGCTGGCAAGCACATACTGGAACAGATGGCTGCTGTTATTTTACCTGCTATGAATTTTTCTTAGTAAGTTGACCCACATACGACCCACCTTTTTTGTATTATGAGAAACTTTGTGAATCCCTACATATAATTTGTATTTCTATAATTTTAAAAAGTGGTTTGATTTTTTCTTTTACATGGGTCATAAGATACAAAATTGTAAAACATTGTGCACTATTAAGGGCTAAAGAAACTTTGTTGGGAAGATTCCTTGCCCTTTGGGATACAAAAATATAAACTATATTTCCCCCCACTACCATAAGTGGTGTAGGGGGCCAAACTGCACTGGTGCTGATATCGGATCAAGAAGCCCATAGAATGATGTAAACAAAGCAGTGTGATTGATGGGCTCCAGACCTTCTCATAAGGAGATGGGGACAAAAGGTAAACTGTGGGAAAGTTCCCTAGCCCCCTTATTTATTTTTTTTCTTTTAAATTTTGGATAGTGTGGGGAAAGATTAAGGCCTCATGTACACAGACGTTTAATCTCAACTCCCCTAGAAGCAAGCAGTACTTGGCCAAAAAACTTGATGCTGGAGTACACACATTTACCCACCTCAAGCGTTTGGGCGTTAATTTCATTGGTCAGAATTAATAATTTTGGCCATTGAAATAATGCTGAAATGCTGAACATTTCCTGGTGTTTAGGTGTGTTTACACATACTTAAGCAAGTCAAGAGTTTTTTAGTTAAAACACTGCTGCTTCAGGGGACTCTAGCTTTTTTTTTTTTTTTTTTTTTTTTTTCTGCAACTAAAACTCTCCTGCCACAAAACTGCTAAAATCCTGTGTGCATGGACATAGTATAACATGCAAGGGAGTTTAGAGGCAGTAAAACTGACGCCCCTAGAAGTAGCTGTAAAAACTTTCAGTGTGCATGAGGCTTAAAGCTCCTATAAGTTTTATGATACTGGTCAGCTATTTTAGAAACATAACCATTTCCAGTCCTGCTGAAAAAGGTTTCACCAGACAAAGTTGGGTAAATCTGCATCGGGCACAGACAAAAATAAGACCATAGCAGTATATACAGCAATAAATATGCTTTTTACATTTTTCTTTATCTCATCAGGCTTTACCCTGGGCAACAAGTAGATGAATTGGTCGAGCCATTGATTTTCTTTCATGCAGCCGCAGTTGGAAGGAAAGAGAAAATTGCTTGATCCCTCCTGCATGTTCTGCTGGCAGGGAGCCTTCCTGGCTGGCAGAACACAATTACTGCTGGCAACTATAGCTACCAGCAGTAATTGCATGTAAAGACTGACAGGCTGGTTGTACCCAAGTTGGGGTTGATCGATTGACTTTGGTACAACCAGCCTGCATCAGTGGGCCACATCAGCATTGATTGCCCTCAAAGGGTCGGTTGTATCTGTTAAACTATATTTATCCAGGGCTTTCATTCTCAAAAAGTAGGTCCAAGAACTCAACCCCCAGCTGAAATGCACTAATAGTGGGAGGATCTTAAAGGGGCAAAAAAAATACCAGAAGTGCGTTATGTGTGAAGTTCATGGGTGTGCTACGTACGGAGTGCAGGGTTTATGGCTGCCCTATGTACAGATTGCAGAGTTTAGGGGTGTGCTGTGTACACAGTGGTGGGCTGAGGAGTGTGCTGCATACGCAGTACAGGGTTTAGGGTTGTGCTACATACAGTATGCAGGGTTCAGCTCTTTCACAGGCTGGCCACATCTCACTTATTTTATTAAGTGCCTTTAAAGTCATTTTAATCTGGTCAGATTCTGGCATTAGATGGAAGTGTAGTATCATTGCAGTTTTCCTTTGAAGTAGAAGTCTGACACAGAGAATATTGTGTGGGGTCAAACACCTTTTTTGTAAAAGGTACACAGCATTTGTTTTTGGGCAGGGAGTTGGGCATGTAAAAAGTTACACCCCAACAACAAATCCTTGTAAGCTGTGAAACATGAGTGAATTTTAATGTGGGCTGCTTAGCATACTGCCAAACCATTCACCAGTTTGAGTTTCTATTTTGCTGTTAAGTGATCAAAGCATAGCTTACAGTGTGTTTTCAAAGTAGCTTGGTACAACCCTTAGATTGTGTTCAAAGCCAAGATTCTTTTTTACACACCCATATCTTGCATAGTCTGTTATTGGCTACTATGACTATTCTGTGCAGTTTAATAAAAAACAAAAGAAAAAACTTGCCCTGCAATGCTTTGTTTTTAATTTACAGTTATTATTTTTTAACTTCATTGATAAATACTTTAAAATTTTTGCTTTCTTGCCAGGGCACCTGAAATAATTCTTGGGTTGCCGTTTTGTGAAGCAATAGACATGTGGTCCTTGGGTTGTGTCATTGCAGAATTGTTCCTTGGATGGCCTCTCTACCCTGGTGCATCAGAGTATGATCAGGTATGCTCTTATTGCATAGTCCTTTTTATATAGTCATTTTTGTATTTGTTAATTTTGAAAGTGTGATTGGTAAGTCTTTCAAATTCTTTGGTACATGTTGTCATAGATCATGACCACAAAAAAACACTACATTAAAAATTACTAATGCCATTTTAGAGCCCTTTCACACTTGTGTGATTTGTCATGCCACTTTGGGGTTCAAAGTCTCATAAGTCACACCCCGTGTTTCCCAATGAGTACCATTCATGTGCACAACTTCAAGTTGCAGCAATTTTGAAAGTAATTCCTGCACTACTTTTGGTTTGACTTTCAACTAGATGGCCGCAGACTTCAATGTAAACCCTCGAGTCTTATAAAAGTCTCACCTGAATGATATACATGTGACTTTGTACAGAAAACACAAATATCCTTGGTGATCAAGTCACACTGTAAAGTTGGAATGAAAATCGTACGATTTTGAAGTCGTGTAAGTGTAAATAGAGCCTTATATTGAATGTTTGTTTTTATAATTTATAACTTTTTGTCACTTGAAAGCAGTGGTCTCTGGGGGCCAGATGCGGCCTTTTGCTTGCCTTTATCTGTCCCTTGGGGCACTAATTAATTCATCAATGGGGCACAGTTCCTCCCAATGAAACCAGCAATGGGGCCCAATGACACTGATGGGGCACAGCTCCTCCCCATAACACCAACAATGGGCAAAATGACTCTTATGATGGGGCACAGTACCTCCCAATCACACAAACGATGGAACACTATTCCTACCAATGTGGCACTATTCCTGCGAATGCCATCAATTGGGCACAATTCCTCCCAATCACATAAGTGATGGAACACTATTCCTACCAATGGGGCACTATTTCTTCCAATGACATAAACGATGATACGGCACTATTCCTCCCAGTGGCCACATTGCAGCCCCTCTTAAGTCTGAAGGACTGTAAACTGGCCCTTTGTTTAAAACATTTGCAGACCCCTGCTTTAATGCATGATCTATTTTTTGTAAAGAGTGCACTTCTTTGATTTTTTTAGTAATAGACTAGATATTTAGCGTTAAGTGTGGCTTATGGTAGTTGCCTATATCAGGTGTTCTTAAGGGCCGCCTGACAGTACTAGGCTCATTTGTTAGAACCCCAACCATTGCACCACCTGCCTAGAGTTTGCAGGTTCTCCCTGTGCCTGCATGGGTTTCCTCTGGGTATTCCGGTTTCCTCCCACACTCCAGTCATACTGGTAAGTTTAATTGGCTCCTGTCTAAATTGTCCCTAGTATGTGTATGTATGAATGTAATTTAAGGACCTTAGATTGTACACCCCTTCAGGGTTAGGGACTGATGTGAATGTACAATATATATAAAGCGCTGTGTAAATTGGTGCTATATAAGTACCTGTAATAAATAAGGGCTCATTCAAAGCATTGCAATGTGAGTGAGTCACCGGTCACACCGCTGTGATTTTTAAAATCGCTCGATTTTTATGTGCAATTTCAACATTATTTCTGAAGACTTTATTGCTACTTGCGAAGACTTTCAATTGTTTCTTGCAATTTGCAGTGCGAGTTCAGTTATATTTTATGTCTGTGACATCGCAACAAAACTGCAGAAAAAGTAATGCAAGACTACTCTAGAAATCGCACTGCAGAAAATCGCAAATATTAAGACACATTCACATTCATTAGATGTGATTTTACAATTCCCAAATCGCACCGATGTGACCGGACACTTAGTGGAGCGTGGTAACGCACAGGCAAGATTAGTTTCAACTCTCCTTTACAACACACATGCATTAAACGCACCACAACAGACCCTACCAGTGTGAATCTGCGCTTGTTTAGTATACTTTTAAACTTTGAAATAAAATTTGCATGAAAAATAGCTGCTGTAAAAGCATGCAGAGAAAAAATATGAAATATTGGGTCATGGCAATACTAGCCTGTCATTGCAAGAAGCAGGTGTGTGTGGGTAAAGCAGTCTTAATGCCAGATAAAGGAATAGAACAGTTGAGGATTGCGTACTCTGTTAATACGATATAAAACATGGATTAGAGCTTTCCAGCTACCACTTGGAATATGAAAGGTCTTTATGAAAGCTTTAATTTAGCTTTTATTTTTGTATTAGATTTTAGTTAACCATCTCCCATCCGGCCATTGTATATAAACTGCTGGATGGTGGCAGTACAGGGTCGGGTGGCCGTTTATAAACGGCCTCCCCACACCCTGCTTGTGCGTGCTCCCCCGAGAGCGCGCAGCACCGTGATCCGGTGCCTGCTGTGTCCTCCGGACACAATGAAACACCGATCGTAGAGGTCCCGATCATGTGATCACTGATTGCCCCCTGCCCCCCCCCCCCCACCTTACCTGCTACACAATCACTGGCTTTAATGGTATAGCTAGTGAAGTCCAGGAGACATGGAATCTGAAGCCCCAGTAGAGACCCTGACCTCCTAGCTATGTTTAAAGTTGAAAGGGAGCAACTGCTAAGCCCCAGGCCACAATTTGCTTTGCAGAAGGCCCCCACAACACTCTACCTCAGAGTGATAATGCATCGGAGCAGGAACCAGCCTCTGCATCCAACTCTAGCTCTAGATCAGGCACACAAGTTTCCTACTCTACAAACGTAGACTTTTCTTCACCTATGTCCGTTTCTTGGAAATGGACTAAATATAGCCATCTTTATCCTGTGCTACTAAACACCAGTCTCCAGCTCCTCCATGGAATCCTAATATGCTTGCCCTAGACAAGGCAGCCAAGGAAGGAAATGAGGTTCTAGAAACAGACTGCGGAAGACTTTTGTTCCCCCTACTTACACCTACTGTAAGATTCATGCAACATGCTTGATATGTAGGTAAGCTCACTGCTGCTGTGTACAAATGCCTCGGCAGTGTAGTTCTTCATTGTGTCTCTCTAAGGCCCTTTGAGCACAGAAACCTGCAAAAACTGTTAAGACGTTCCCTGTTCGTGAACAAATAGAATGGGCAAGCTATGACAAATCACTCCAGAAAAGACTCACTCCTCAGAGTATCCATACTTTAATGGGGCAATTTCAACGGAGACCTTCTGCTCTGCTTTTTTGTGTGGATACCCTAGAACAGTGTTTTTCAACCTTTCAGTCAAGGCACCCTTTAAAATTATGGACAGTCCCGAGGTACCCTTAACATTATGAACAGTCTTGAGGCACCCCATTCTAAAATGTGGAAAACTATTCTAATAATTTTACCCAATGCAGCAACACGCACACGTAGGACACCCAACATTAGAGGTGATTTATTCATCTAAAGCAAATACACTTTTGCACACTGGTACTGAGTAGTATTCCAGTGGTTCTGTTCTCCCACAGTTTTTATCCATTACTGAGCTAATGTGACCCCACCACTGATGGAGAGGGGCAGGGGAGGGTAAAACTAGGATGCTGTGCAGATATGCTGACATCCTCAATTGAGGTCACTGGTTGTCAGGATGCCAGTGGCTAGAAGGTCGTAAAACCTATGGCTTTGTGTAACTAATGCAGGCCATAGACTGGGAGAAAAACGGCGTTTTTTTTTTTTTAGAAAAACGAAAAATTGGTCGTTCAGTTGGCCAAAGTTACCACCATTGGTAAAAAGTCGGCTGATTTTCGTCCCGTCTATGGCCGGCAAATATTATAGCGGTGTCCCTGCAGAGAGCTCTGCTATTTGACAGAAGAAATAGAATGAATAAGAAGAAATGGAAGAAAAAGTTGCAACATTGTATCTATTTGTATCCATTTCGGATACAGATGTTTCTATTCGGATACAAATAGAAACTAGATACAATGTTTCTATACTTTTTAAATGTCAAATATAATATCGGACTGAATTTCTTCCCCCCCCAACATGACTGACAGTGTCAAGATTATGAAAAACGGCCGACTGATTACCCCACTAACAATCTGAAAATCGGCCGTGTTTTTTTCATTCAAGGCAGTCTTGTTCCACCTGCTGGCTTGCATACAACTTTTGGGCAATTTTTTTTTTGACATTTTGTCAAGGCACCCTGGTTGAGAAGATGCCCTAGAACGTGTCCTGAGACAAATTTCCAGAATGACTAATTGCCATTCACACGCACAGCCTGAGCAGCTAAAGTTGCCTGCAAAAAAGTGCTTCACACCTATGCCATTTTAAGGCGAATGCCTTTTTAAGGGAGGCACCTGACTAATCCATTAAATAAGACATGGCACAGATTTTACTGAAGATTCCAAATCCTGCCTCCCTCAAAATGCAGAGACCCTAACTTCTCTACCCAGGCTTTAGCTTCCAAACCCAAGTTCAGCCCAACCTTTCTGTGCAAAGCTTGGCCTGTTAAATCCACAAATCCTCCCCAAAACTCTTCCAAATGAATTGGTACCCTTACTCTTAAGATTGGGGCACGTCTGTTTGCCTCTCTCTGGGCCACAGGCATCCCAAACCTGTTTAAGTTGGTGGATTCACAGGGGTACAAAGTAGAATTAGAAACTCTATCCCCTAACTGCTTTCTTCTCTCAAATTAACCAAAGACTGCCCAAGGACAGACCATTTGCAGAATGCACTGAACAATCTCTTTTCTTAGGGAATAGTTGTTCCACTACCTTTTTACAAGACAGGTTGTGCTCAAACCTGTTCATGGTACCAAAGCACAGTGGAGGTTTTCATCCTATTTTCAACTTAAAATCCCTCAACAAATCTTCAAATTTCCACATTTTGTATGGAATCTTCAAGACTGGGATTGGCGTTCACAATGCCTAACTGAATATTCTCATTTATCCACCTCCTCAGTGCACTTTGCAGTGGTAGGCAGCCATTTTCCAGTTTGTGTTTTCAACCAGTGGGTGGTCCTTCAGAGGATTCATAAGTCATAGAACCTCTTCTTGCCGTTAGAATGCAGGGCATCTAGGTCAAAGGTCATCTAGTCCACCTTTTTTTGAAAGACTAATTTTCCTTCCTGCTATCTGTAAACGTACACAAGACCATTCAGATGCTGCAAGGCTGTGGTTGGGTGATCAATTTTTAAAA